TCATGTTGTTGATTTTTCAGAGGCAAGACACAGCACCTGCCCGAACCATAAATTCTTCCTTAGTGAGCTGATCCAAGCATACAATCACATGAAATGCAATGGGAATTAGTTGGAGACAGGGTCTTGTTTATAGCAGTATCCATTACGGAACAGCTTGTCCAAGATTCATCTGGTGCTCTCTTATGGGCTCCCCACCCCAGCACAAAACAGATATCCTTTAATTCACCAAAGCCTTTTGGTATCATCTTAGTACGGCCTTGTGTTTTTAAAATCTATTATGTTGCAATTTAAAAAAAAAGATCAGAAGCATTATCTACCTCTTATATAGAGCCACGTCCTTTCTGTTCATGGGAAATTTCTGACATAGCCAAGGAATTCTCCTGGTGGAATAGACGAGGCAATACATTTTGCTTCCTGCCCCTCACCTCTATTACCCATGCATGAGAATACTGTAATGGGGTTCTCCAAAAGTGGGATATAGCAAAAGGTGCTCCAGCTTACCCCTTTTTGCCAGCACCAGTGTTGAGTAGATAGGCACTCAGAATACTATATGCTCCTGCCACTGGAAAAGCTGAATCTAACCCATTGCCACTTTAACATTTCGTAAGACACCCAATAATTGTTGGTATGGGACAGATTTATGTTTATATACATATACATAGTGTGCACGCACGCACGCACGTACGCACACACGTACGCACGCACGCACACACGTACGCATGCACGCACGTACGTACGTACGCACGCACGCACACACATACGTACGTACGTACGCACGTACGTATGTATGTTCATGGTGTACAGATAGATAGATAGATAGATAGACAGATAGACAGACAGATAGATAGATAGATAGATAGATAGATAGATAGATAGATACCTACCTACCTACCTACCTACCTACCTACCTACCTACCTACCTACCTACCTACCTACCTACCTACCTACCTACCTACCTACCTACCTACCTACCTACCTACCTACCTACCTACCTACCTACCTACCTACCTACCTACCTACCTACCTACCTACCTACCTACCTACCTACCTACCTACCTACCTACCTACCTACCTACCTACCTACCTACCTACCTACCTACCTACCTACCTACCTACCTACCTACCTACCTACCTACCTACCTACCTACCTACCTACCTACCTACCTACCTACCTACCTACCTACCTACCTACCTACCTACCTACCTACCTACCTACCTACCTACCTACCTACCTACCTACCCAACCATTTTCGCGCGATTTCCTCGCTTACTGAGGTGGCGAAAATGGCGGCAATATGGAGGATCTTCGCATAACGGTGAGTTTTTGCCCCATAGGATGAAGTTAAATGAAGTTTAATGCGTTTCTATGGGGTTCCCCCCCGCATTGCGATGTTTCCGGATAGCGACGATTAATCCGGAACAGATTAACGTCGCTATGCAGGGCACCACTGTATGTATGTATATATGAGTGATGATGGTGGAAAAACTCAGAGTGAATCTGACCAAACGTGGGCTAGAGCCCATTTGAAGGCCTATTTCATGGCAGTGGCTCCAGCAAAGAAAAGGTTCTTTGCTGCTGCCATGGCATCTGCACAAAGTCATCCAGCAGAGTTGTTCTGAGTGGTCAGGGGCTTAGTGCACACCCCACCAAAAGAACAAAATACTGACCACTCCACAACACACTGTGAGGAAATTGCACGACACTTTGCAGATAAAGTCACTCAGATTCGCTCTGACTTGGATGCTGTAATTGATACAGACGCAGTGGATATAACTTTGGCCCCGGCTTGTCATGTTTGAATGGATACTTTTCAGTTGGTGCAGCCTGATGATGTGGACAGGATTCTTGGAAAGATGAATGCCACCACATGTGTGCCTGGACCCTTGCTCTTCCTGCTTCATAAAGGCAGCCAGAGGAGGAATGGCTGATTGGGTACGGAGAGTAGTAAATGCCTCCTTGCACAGGGTAAGATCCCTGCTTGCTTAAAGGAGTCAGTAATAAGACCACGACTGAAGAAGCCCTCCTTGGACCCCAGTGTACGGGATAACCCCCAGCCAGTCTCAAACATCCCATTTCTGGGCAAGGTACTGGAGAGTGTGGTGGTTTCTCAGCTCCAGGAATTCCAGAGACAGCTTTGGTCACATTGGTGGATGACCTACGCCGAGAACTGGACAGGGGGGAGTGTGTCCCTGTTGGTTCTGCTCGACCTCTCAGTGGCTTTCAATACCATCGACCATGGTATCCTTCTGGGCCATCTCTCTGGGATGGGACTCAGAGGCACTGTTTTACAGTGGCTCCAATCCTTCCTGGAGGGGAGAACTCAGAAGGTGGTGCTGGGTGACTCCTGCTCAACGCCCTGGCCATTGGCCTGTGGCATTCCTCTGGGTTCTCCTTTGTCACCCATACTTTTTAATATCTACATGAAACCGTTGGCAGAAGTTGTCCGGGGTTTTGGGTTTGGTGTCACCAGTATGAGGATGACACCCAACTCTATCTCTCCTTTCCACCTAATTCCAGGGAAGCTGTCTTGACTGTAAACCAGTGCTTGGCATCAGTAATGGGCTGGATGAAGGCAAACAAACTGAAACTTAATCCAGACAAGACAGAGGTACTCCTGGTTAGTTGGAAGGCAGATGATGGAATAGGGATACTACCTGTGTTGGATGGGGTTACACTCCCCCTGAAAACTCAGGTCTGTAGCTTGAGTGCACTCCTAAATTCATCCCTAAACTTGGATGTCCAGGTCTTGGTGGTGGCCAGGAATGCATTTGCAGAACTAAAGCTGGCGCACCAGCTGCGCCCATTCCTCGAGATGTCAGATTTGGCTACAGTGACACATGCCTTAGTTACATCCATTTGGATTACTGTAACACGTTCCATGTGGGGCTGCCTTTGAAGATGGTTCAGAAACTTCAGCTGGTGCAAAACTCTGCAGCCAGACTACTGACTAGGGCCAGCTATAGAGAGTATATACAGTGGTGCCTCGCTTAACGGGCGCTCCGTTTGACGACAAAATAGCTAGACATCGATGTTTTTGCGATTGCAAAAGCGA